TCCTAGAAAAGGACATTGGTGAGGACCTGAGTGCTCCCCCTGAGGCCCCAGGGGCCCACTCCCTCTCCATTTCTGCACCCACAGAGGGGCTGAGGGTTTCATCCTCTGGCCCAGTGGCCAGTGCTGCTGCTGCCGCTTCCTCCTGCCCTTGAATCCTCAGGTCCAGGTCCAGGATGCTGCTGCTTCGTCTCAGAACAAACCTCTGTCCCCACAGGGCCTCCCAGGTTGGAGACTCGGCCCCACTACTGAAGTCTGAATGGAAGCTCCTCATGCTGAAGCTTAGGACGCCGGTCCCCTTGGTGCGTCCTCCGCTCCTTGTCCCTCCTCAGTCACTGTCTCCCCTGCTTCTCAGGTCTCCAGGCCCAGTGCTCGGCTACTTCCTGGACAACAGAAGTGGTCCCTGGTGTCAGTGCTGCTCGCAGCAATGGAAATGCCCAAGGTGCTCCCTGTTTCCTTCAAATCAGTCCAGCAGGGTGGTTAGGAGTTCAACCTGCTTCTGAAGATGGTCCTGTCCAGTTCCTACCCACGAGGGTGTAACGTTCTTTTCTGCATCAAGGAAACTTTGCTTTCTCCACAGAGGCCTCCTGGTTCCTCGGAAAGCCCGCTGCTCTTGCAGAGTGGGGTGCCTGCCCAGGTTTCTCTGGCCCCACAGAAGCATCTCCTTCTTGGCCTGGGCAGCCCCAGGGTGGGAGTGTCCACCCCGAGGGCTGACCCCTGAGGGTTCCCCACCCAGCAGCAGCTATCAGCCTCTAATTCAGGTGGTGATCTTGGTGACTCTAAGCAGACCCAGGAAGAAGTGGGACATTTATACCAATACCCAGAATGGTGGTGGCCTGGTCAGCCTGCTGCTCAGGGACAGAGGAGAGAGAGGTGACATTAGAAAATGCTGCCATCATGTGTGTCAGACCCTGTCTGGGCTCCACGCACCAAGGAGGATCCAAAGCACAGGACAGGAGTGCCCATCACAGTCAGCTTACTAGAATAGAGTTAGGGGGGATCACACTGTGTTGACCCCTGGTACACACTGAGACCTTGCCCTCTGGTGAAATGTCCTTACCCGTGTCCTGAAATCTGTCCCAATGAGATTGATATTCACTCTTTTGGGGGAAAGAAAGAATAGAATTTGAGAGAGGGTAGAATCCTTCCCTGCATCTTTAACGTAATTGGGTGAGAACCTTATTCACAGCCAGAAAAAGTCGAATTCAGGGAAATAAATGTGGAAACGTTGGCTCTAGAATATGCCTGCTTCTCCAGCCTGGTGTCCAAACATTGGGACCAACTTGGTCGACTCCAGACCCTCCCACAAGCCTGAGAAAGACGTAAAGTCTTTGTCTTTCTCTCTTTTCCCCACAGCCATCTCAGCAAACACTAGAAGCAAGATGAAGTTCATGCCCCATGCCACTTAATCTCTGCACCTCTTAGAAGGAGGGGGCAGCTGAGGACAGCAGGATTCACATGGATGATGTCAGTGTCTTTGCACAAAGAAGGGAACTCCTGGGCACTGGCCCTGCTCCTCCTCAGGTCTCCTCCCCTGGCCTCCAGGCTCTGACAGTCACTTCTTGTCCTCCATTCCTGCTGCCACATCTCATGATGGCTGCAGGAGGAGGGAGACAGTGCCTGACAGCACATGGAATGTTACTTTCACTTCTCTTTTCCCCATTTGGGTGGAGCCTTGTCTGTGTGAGTCAGTTGGTAGGCTTCCTGCTCAGGGCTTCAGCCTCCCTGCACTCAGGAGGGAGAGACTGGAGGGATCAGAAGCCAGGCAGTTCCCGGGACAGAGCGATGGCCAGTGGGGGCAGCGACCTCAGCACCAGGTCAGTCTCTCTCTCTTCCTTTAACTTTCTCTCTGGCCATGTTGCTGCTTTCGGGGCTGATAGACACTCATCTAAACCTTAACCTTAGATAAGAACACTCACATGCAATGTAATGAAATGCAGGAATATGTAGTGAGAAATCCGGTTTTTAAACTGCAGCAGGACAGCTGCTGGTGTGAGTCCAGCGTTCCACCCCCACGTGACTCTTGTTTTACAACCACTGCTCAGCTGGCAGGACCCTCAGGAGTCCGCTGTCTGACGCTTTGAGACAGCGATTGTTATTTCCTGTGACCTCTGAACCTCCTCATTTCCCTCAGGCCTCCTGGACCTTCACCTAGGTTGTTTCAAAGAAGGTACTTTAGAAAACATAAAATTCAGGATAAACACATGAGTTGTTTGCAAACACTGAGTGCTGTGGTCTCGTACATGACCTGGGAACGGGTCAGCTCCAGCTAGTCCCATCTCTAACCATGGGCCTGGGTTCTCCCTGCACTGATCTGGGTCAAAGGGAGTAAAATGAAAAGAAAGGACCAAGATGAGAAAGACTAGTGCAGGCTGAGTGCTTTTATTTTTACTTTGATTTTCTTCTCTGGGTTAAACCTCTGACAAGGAAAAGGGTAAACATCTTTTACTGTAATAAACATACTGATTTACCTCAATCTTTTTAACAGCTACATACTACTCCATGGAATGGATGTACCATGACTTTTTAAACCACATTACCATCTCTTGACCGACATTTATTTGTTTTCAATTGTTCACTGTTATCAACAAATTGAGGCAGTAATGATTTTATATTTCTTTATGATTTGCATGTATCCAAGTATTTGTCTTGTGTCAAAATCTAAAAGGTAACATAGTTGAGGCAAAGGGTACTATAATTGTTTATAGATCCTGACAAATTGCCTCTTAGTGGCTGAATTAATGTATTCTCCTACCTCTGGCTAATGAGATGAACCGTCTCCCCCACCCAGACTTTACGTTGGTGCTGGATAAAGAGGTGCATCTTGCATTACCTGATTACAGGGGAGCTTGAACATGTTTTTGTGCCCATTGGCCATTTAAATTGCCTGTTCTGTGAATTGCTTGCTGGTTTATTTTAGACCAATGAGGTAAGTTGAGGTGAATGTTATCAGTTGAGGTAATTGTCCTTTTTTTAATGATAACGGAGAGTTTGCTATATCAACTGAATATTATAAGTATACATTCCATGTCTTTAACATTGTTTATGGTGACTTCTCTCTTATTAAATCTTGAAATTTAGAATATAAACTTTTTACAGTATTGATTTGATAAGATACATGCAGCCTCGTTATTACAAATAAATAAAGTGACACAGAAAGTTACTGATGAATTCCAGGCACACTGTCTTCAAGCACCGTTCCTGTGTTCTTTAGGGTGGCAGATTCGATTCTACCTCTATTTCAGGGATAGTTTCTTCTCCAGTATCTCTGAAAATTGTTTATTTCTCAATTTTGGGGCAAAATTATTTTCATTGGTGCAACTTTAGCCTTTACAGCTTCTTCTGCCCCCTAATACTTGCATCTCTTTAGTTTTTTAAAATTTTCTGTTCATAATGGTTGTTTCCAATTTTAATTCCCTGAAAATTATTTTATTTTAGTGTTTTTGTGTTTGTTATTTCTAATTTTAAAAGTTGATTGCTTTTATTTTTGAGGGGAGGGTCTTAATGTGCTTAGACAGCTCTGCAAGCTTGACTGTAACCCACATTTTGTTATTCTATCAGCCCATCTGCACACTGTTGCTTTACTTATTTAGGTTTCAATGTGATGTAAGTGCCTTGGGGATGTCTTCCTCATCCTCTGGGTTATTCCTTGAGATTGACTCTGTCTGCAGTTTCATTTCTGTGTTGCTTTACTTCCTTTTTCACATTCCTGCCAGGGTTTTACTCCCCTTTTCGCTATGCTTGAGCTGGGCAGCTCTCCCCTCACCTCTGGTTATCAATCTGCATCTGGATGAATTATTTTTCACATTTTCTGTTTTATCTGAGAATGAATTGCTTCCCATCTCATCTACAGTTTGATCTATCATTATCCTTATCAGTTTTTCTCAGGGAGCCATTGTTTCATTAACCATCCTTCTCCCCACTGACTTGCAGTGCCACCCTTTACCCAAGTGTCCATTATATGCAGGGTCTGTTTCTGTGCTCTCTCTTCTCTGCCATTGACCTATGAGGGCCTCTCCTTGTGTCATATGACACTGTCATAGTGACGACGGCATCATATGAACTCTTGATATCGGGAGGAGTAAATTTTCTCATCCTTTTTTCTTTTTAAAGTGTCTGGGCCCTTTGCATCTTCACATCAACTTGTTAGAAACTATTTTGGGATCTTGCTTGGGATTCCACTGAATTTATAAATTGATTTGAAGAGAATTGACATCTTTTAACATGTGTCTTCTATCTCATTAAGATGGCATATGTATATTTTTAACTGGAAAACGTTTTCTAATAAAAATGTGTTTTCCTCCCAAGAGGTTTTATACATATTCTGCTAGATTTATTTATGGATATTTGATACCTTTATGCTCTTAAATCAGCAAAATTTAAAATCAACCTTCTAGTTGCCTGTTAAGATATAGAAATGAATCAAAACTCTGCCACTCTCTGATTTTAATAACTTATATGGAGACATATATGAATTTACACATTATATACATAATGACAGTTTTGTTTCTTTACCTCTAATCCTTACACTTATTAGTACTTTTTCTTGCCTTACTGCGTTGGCCCGGATTTCCACTATTAAGACGAATACAGATAGTGACAGTGATCGGCTGCGTGTTGAGCCCGATCCCACAGGGGCAGCTCCTCTCATTGCACAGGGGCGGGTGATGTTTGCTGTACGTTTCCGTTCTCAATAGAAAAACTCACACAGATTAACGAGGTTTCATATAGCGTGTGACATGTTCAAGGTACGAGGTGTTCTTGATCCTGTTTTCTATTGTTTCTACTATTCTCACTATCAAAGTTTTTTTAAATAAACTATTATTTTGGAATAATTTTATATTTACAGGAAACTTGCAAAGATAGTACAGAAGTTTCTGTAACTACAACCCAGTTTCACTTCCTGTAACATTATCCTCTTACGCTGTTGTAGGACGTTTGTCAAACCTAAAAATCCAACATTGGCACCTCACTGTTCACTAAACCACACACATTTTTAATTTCATCGGTTCTTCCACTACAGTCCTCACTCTGTTCCAGAATTCAATCAGGGCCACATTGCCTTCAGCCATCCTGTCACCCGTTCTATCTGGCCTGTGACAGCTTCTCAGTCTTTCCTTGATTTTCATGACCTTGACAATTTGAAGAATACTGGTCAGGCATTTTGTAGAATGTCTTTCAATTTGGGTTCATCTTGATGTTTTTCTCATAATTAGACTTGGGTTATGGGTTTTATAAATGAATACTACAGGGGTGAAGTCCCCTCTCATCACATCATATCAGGGGAGATGTCAACCAGGCTTGTAACCATGGCTATTGTCCTTGAGCATTTGGTTTAAGTGGTGTTTGTAGGTTTCTCCTCTATAAAATCACTATTTTTCTTTTCCACACCCTATTCACAAAGATTATATAGCTGGGTGTGTGTGTGTGTGTGTTTTTACTGTGTACTCACTTGTATTTGAAAAACATCATTTGTGGGTGAAATTTAGACCTGCAATGAAGGCACTAGATTTTGGCGAGGATTTCTTTTTACAAAGTCAAGGTGCCTGAGGACACAGTCCATCAAGAAACGCTTTAAACAAAGTCAAGGTCTGAGAGAACCTGGAGTCACCCAAGTGGTTTATTAGAAATGCAATTCCAAGCTCGCATTGTCCCCCCCCCTCCCCGCCCTTCCCTTTATTCTCACTGTGAAGAAATGATGGCTATTGTCTGGACTCCCATTAACTCCTCACACCATATGGATTTTAGGCTTTGTTTCTGTCCCTCTCACAAATCGAGGGTGTCAAAACTGAGGATCAGCAAATGCCCTGAAGTAGAAAGCAGCTTCTGTGCAATTTCCTGACATGACTGCTGGGAGCAACCTCCACCTACAATAGCAATTAATATTCCTCTGACCATTATTTTGTCCTATAGATTTTGGTTGAAGTCTCTCATTTACTCATTGACACCCTGCCATTCTCTCGGTCTTTGTGAACACAATTTCTATATGATCATTCTAATGGAGTTTTTAATTAGAGAGAAAACAAATGCTTGTCTTCAACCTGCTTTGTTTCACCAGAAACTTGTTTTTTTACAGAATTTGACACACTAATGTAACATTATTACCCCCTGATACATATTGGGTACTGGGAAGTGCCAATGATTCTCTCCTGGTTTGAAACAAGAAAGCTTATGCATTTTCATAACATTTAGGAATACATGATATGTATTAATACATTATTGTCAGAGAAATAGAAAGATCAACTAAGAACTAGCATTACAGGCTCTAGTTAACAATTACTATCACAGGAAGCAGCAGCCATTTCTGAAATTCAGAGTCACTGTATACACAATACCACAGGCAGATTTTTATTAAAGCAAAAGTTCCAGGAGAAATGACTAATATTCTTGTGAAATTTCAATTTATACTTGGTCATATCATTGTTAAATCATGTCTTATCATTTATGAACTGGTTTTATAATTCAGAATGGTATTTTTCTTCACTGCCATAGATCACAGAGGGGACTCCTTGTACTTATCTTTCTGAGATTTACTTTAGGTGTTAATTAAGATGCATTTTAAAGTGAGATACCATTGTTATTCCATTGTATTTTATTCCTCTGGAGATGAACTACTTGCTCCATCTCAATGTTGTACAAATTAAAGCCAGGGCAATCAGGCAAGAGAAAGAAATAAAAGGCATCGAAATTGGAAATGAAGAAGTTAAATTGTCATTTTTTGCAGATGACATGATTCCTTATATAGAAAACCCTAAAGACTCCACCAAATAAACTATTATAAGCAAACAACACATACAGTAAACTTGAGGGTACAAAATCAATGTACAAAAATGTGTTGCATTTCTATATACTAATAATGAAATTTCAGAAAAAGAAATGAAAAAAAATAACAATTCCTTTTGCTATTGCAGCAAAAAGAATAAATACCTAGGAATAAACTTAACAAAGTATGTAAAGAGCCTATACACTGAAAACTATAAGACATTAAAAGAAATTGAAGAAGACACAAAGAAATGGAAAGATATTTTATGTTCATGGATTGGAAAAATCAACATAGTTAAAATGGCTATATTACCCGAAGTTATATACCAATAGAATATTTTTAGAGAAATAGGACAAAAAATCATCAAACTTGTATGGAATCACAAAAGACCCAAATAGCCAAAGTAATCCTGGAAAAAAAAAAAAGAACAAAGCTAGAGGTGTCACACTCCCTGACTTCAATTTATACTACACAGTGACAATAATCAAAACAGCATGGTGTTGGCAATAAACAGACACACAGGACAGTGGAATAGAATTGAGAGCCCAGAAACAAACCCACATATATGTGGCCAGATAAGTTTCAACACAGGGGCCAAAAACGTACAACGGAGAAAAGAAAGCCTTTTCAATAAACGTTGCTGGGGAAATTAGAAAGCCACATGTAAAACAATGAAACTAGACTGCCATTTGTCACCATACACCAACATAAACTCATAATGGATCAAAAACCTACCTAAACATAAGACCTAAAACAATAAATTGCATAGAAAAAGCATAGGTACTAAACATATGGACCTTAGGTTCAGAGAGAATTTTATGAACTTGACCTCAAAGGCAAGGGAAGTTAAAGTAAAAGTAAATGAATAAAACTGCATCAAACTAAAAAGCTTATGCACAACAAAAGAAACCATCAACAACACAAAGACTCGACCAACTGAATGAAAGAAGATATTTGCAAACAACACGTTCAATAAGGGACTCATATCTAAAATATATAAGATCTCATAGAATTCAACAATGAAAAGACAAAATCTAATTAAAAAATGGGCAGAAGATCTAAACAAATACTTCTCCGAAGAACACAAATGGCCAACAGCGTTATAAAAAAAAAAAAATGCTGAACTGCACTAGCTGGTAGGGAAATGCAAATCAAAACCACAATGAGATGTCACCTCACACCTGTTAGAATGGCTGTCATCAACAAGACAAGTAATAACAAGTGTTGGAGAGGTTGTGAAGAAAAAGAAACCCTCATACACTGCTGGTGGGAATGTAAATTGGTACAGTCATGATGGAAAACATTATGGAGGTGCCTCAAAAAATTAAAAATTGAATTACCATATGACCCAGCAATCCCTCATCTGGGTATCAACTCCAATAATCTGAAAACATTGATCCATAACGATGTATGTACCCCTATGTTCATAGCAGCAATATTTATGGTGGGCAAAGCATGAAAACAACCCAAGTGTCCTTCTATAGATAATAAGATAAAGAAGATGTGGTACATGTAAAAAAATGGATTATTACTCGGCCATAAAAAGATGAAATACTGCCATTTGTGACAACATGGATGGACCTTGAGATTATCATGCTAAACAAAATAAGCCAGACAGAGAAAGTTGAGAACCATATGACTTCACTCATATGTGAGATGCAAAGCTGAAAGCAGCAAACGAACAAGATGAACAAACAACAAAATCATAGACACAGACAACAGTTTAGTGATTATCAAAAAGAAAGTGGGTGGAGGAGTAGTAGAAGAAGGTAAAAGGGGTCAAATATATGGTGATGGAAGGAGACTTGCTCTGGGTAGTGAACACACAATGCAATTATAGATGATGTATTATAGAAATGTACACTTGAACCCTATATAATTTTACTAACTAATGCCACTCCAATAACTTTAATAAAAATTTATTTGAACATAATAAAGATCCAGTGTCATTCCAAATACATAAATAATAAATAAATAATAAAAATGAAACTGGCAGTGATAGAGGCTGACTTCTAATATAGTATCTTCCAAAGAGATATGTAAGGGCAATTAAAATTATTTTAATAAAAAATACTCTAGATGTGTTTAGAATAACATAACTTTACAATGGCTTTTACCAGGACAGAGTGAACTTTTTCAGCACTATGTAAGTCTCTCATGTTCCATGCTTCTTTCTATCATATCTTGGTTTATTGCTTCAATTCCATTTTTTTTCTACTCTCTATTCAGGACCACTTATTTTATATGTGTTGGTTCTTCACTACTTAACCTTCATATATAAAATGTTAGAGCCCCCACGAGCATCTCAAAATCTTGACCACTCTCACATAATTTCTTTCCTCTCTAGAACATCCTCAGGAGACCAGAACAGAAGCCACATGCAAGACCATGAGGCTGCTCTCGAGCACTTCAGAAAATGTAAGGTGGACATTTCAGATGCAATACAACGTCCATTTCCTTTTTTTGAACTTCTCCGTGACCGTGGATTCATCACCAATGAAACATATGAAGTAAGTGAGGTTTATTATGTCATAATCTGGTAAACAGGCCCCAAACTAAGTTACACTTTGATGTACCAGACTAAAAAGTAGGGGCACAACTAGCCGATGATAGAGTCTCCTATGAGCGGGGACCTTTTCCAGTATTGCTGTAAGTGTTCCTGTAAGGTAAAAAGAGAGAGGAGAAGCAGGCACCACTATGGACAGTCCTGCTCCTAACTGAAGGAACGGTGCTCCATGGCGCCCATGGGAGTCAGGGTGAATCGCAATGGAGATAGGCTGGATCTGACATGGGTGTGCTCCGTAGATGTATAATGCCTTGTAAAAATGCGTAAAATATAGCATAAACTAGGAATTAAAAGTAATTTTAATGAATGGATGAAAAATCTAATGAATTGATTTAATGAAATAGTAATTGACACAGCATTTCATTTCAACTTAGATCTGAGAAGATTAAAACCCACAGAGAAGTAATGTCTTGTTAGGACAATTTTGGAAATAGATGCTAGCTATACTTTCTTTAACAGTTGCGGTTTCCTTTCCTCTTTTTTCTTGCTTCTGATACTTCTGGCATCTTGGGGTTTAGGTTAATTTAGGAAAAGACCTAGGTGGAGAAACGGAGATGCAAGACTTCTCTTTCCGTAGGAAGGTGCTTTCTCTATGGCAAAGTTCACAGTAGGAGGAAAGTCATCAGCTGGCTTCCGTGAGCCCTTCCAGGCCAAGCCAGTCCTGGGAAAAGGTTGTCCAGTCAGTAGAACAGCTGCTCATCACCCACCTGCTAAGTCTATTTCTAATATATTTCACTGGGCTCTAAATGGGCTAAAGATTATATAACTTGAACTCATTTTTCATTTGTCAAAATTGTTCTTTCTTCCATCTCATGTAAATGAGGGTGAGGAGATCAGACTCACAAATGGGTGTTTTTAAGGAGGAAAGATTTGTTTCACTTAGTAGTCATAAAAATATATAGAAATTCTAAAACTTTACATAAGATACCCATGTATGGAAATCGCAATACATTAACCATAAAATCAGTTTCTAGGGTTCCTGTTTATTTTGCAAGTCTGTATTTATATTTTCCCTCTTCATTATTTTTAAGGAGTCTCGTAGAAAACGGAATTCTGTACAAGAAGTGGTGTACGATGTTCTCACTGAATTGGAGGAAAAATTTGACCTGTCACTTCTAAGAGAATTGTTCAGCAAAGTCATGATGAAGAATTACCCCAATTTAAAATGCATTTATAAAAGCTTCAGAGATGGTAATTTGGTTTATTACCTGCTTTTGATGTCCAGGGCCATTTTTTCCCACAGGTATATGTGGATTTCCTGCCATCTACCTCACACCATGCCAGGCAGTGGGGATACAGCAGTTCAGAAAACAGACATATCATGAGGCTTCTCAAAGCTTGTGGTATAATGGCTATGGCACAAGGTCTGCTTAACTAGGCATTTAGACTCACAGGACAACCAGACCCACAGTGGCATCAGATTTACTTAGAAGGACAAATGACAGGGAACACAGCATCCCAGAAAGGCAGCATCAGTTTCTCCTCCTGTGTGGGACCCCTTGCAGCGATCCGCACAGCAGTCCTTAAGTTGACTGCCGCCTTCCTTGAGTGACAGCTTGGCTGTGGGTGCGGGATGCATCCTGCCTCAGCAGCACCATGCCCATGGGAGTCAATGTCTCATGTAACCACTCTGCAGTCATAGCTTCCAGGAGCCCCACGAGGGAAGCCACGTTACAAGAGTCACCACACTGAAGGAAGACCAAAAATGGTTGATAGTTCACATACAGTCCCTCACAGGCCACACACATGTTATCTACCTACAATCACAGGTCACTTTTCACCCTAAACCCTTTTTTGGCCTGGAAACACAAAAGACATGCCACCTTTATCTGGTGTCCAGAGTAATGAGCAAGAAAGTTAACCTCAGGTCAAATCTGCCCTTAAAGGAGAAATGGTGTTATTAACTCATTCTCTACAACTGGGTGATAAACAATCCAATATCACAAAACCAGTTGCTCTGCCAGAGGTGGTTTATGACACTCTACAAACCTACAGGTTTAAATCTCCACTTTTTCCTGAGAAGGCATGATTTTCTTTTTAAACTGGGACTCAGTAAAGAAGATGCATTCAGGTGATTTTTGTTTTGACTTGCCTAGAAAACTTTTTATTCCAACACAGTTTGGTCCCAGCCAACATCTCCAAATAACAATGGAGAATTCACAAGAAAAACGATTACCTGAAGTGAGGAGGGTAGATGCTGCAGGAAAAGAAATAGAGTGTGGAGGGGTCCAGTGTGCCTGCAAAACAGGGACAAATTAGATTTCACTCAGAGTGAGAAGCAGACTGTGGGAATTGATTCAAGAGGGATAGGTTTTAAAACAAAGGTATTGGAATACCTGGCATCAAAAGCTAAGGAATTTGAGGTTATTTCCTACACAATAAAAACATACTGCAGGTTACAAGGTTTATAAACAGATTCATTGCCCCAGGAGATATGCTTGCCATCCGCCCTGGGGCATTGTGGGCACATTGGTTCCTTGCTGTCTTCTTCCCCAATTGCCTGAAGAGCCCTTCCCACCTGGGCTTCTTGGTTTATTTCCTCCTCTCTACATTTGCTGGGTACCATCATGCAGGGACCTGGGTTAGTGCCCTGGCCTGCCCTCTCTGGCAGCCTCCCGGGTCCCTGGTCCAGGCGTCTCTGGGACGTCCCCCCAGCACCACAATGTGCATCCTGCTTTAGGCTTCAGGGAGTGTTCTTCCTTTGTTCCTGGGACCTGAGCACCCCCGGAAGGTCTGTCTAGTTGCTCTTGTTTGTCCTCTAGGAAGTGCTCATCCTCCCTGACCCAATTCAGTCAACCCTCCTCTTGTCCAGCCCCATCGTTAAAGCTGTTGGGCTTCCTCTTTTATACACGTGCAGCTCACTAGGACCCTAGTTCTTCCACCAAGGAAATCCCTCTGTTTCTTCCTTACAGTTTGAACAGTCAGAAAACAATTTTCACTTTCAGTATTTATGTGTTTTCCTGGACATCTGAATTTTTCTTACATGAGTAGCAGGCTCACGATGTATCCATGACTCCTTCATCCTGACAGTTGAGTGGCCCTCTCTGTGTGGGAGACGTGTAGGCTCCCTTGTTGGGGGTCCTCCTTTCTGTTCCAGGGATGAAGGGGGATCTTTACCATGAGGATTGGGACCCACTGAGCCCTGAGTGACCCAAGGGCTGGAAACTCCTAAATGTATAAATTTGAGATGACATCCTTGGTCTGAATGGAGATCTCTAAATTGTCCTCTTCCTTTGCTGTCTCTTCAGTGATACTAGACAAAAATTTTTTCCCAGAAATTGATGATGAAGAATTGGAGGAGAGGTCTGCTATCGAACCAAACATGGAACAAGGTGATTGCGACCACATAAAAATTGAATCTCCTGATAAGAACAAAGGAGAAAGGGAGGTGGGGTCCTGAGTCCTGAGTGGAGACTGGGAATCAGGGAAGAAACACGGAGGAGCATGGAGAAGGCCGGGAGGGGTGTTTGTGTGAATGGGTGACCAGAGGCTGATCCTGGTGGAGGGGCTTTGACAAGAGACCATTGGCCAGGTGACAAAGTCAAAGGAACAGGAATCCAGTGTTTCAGTCAGGAAAACAGATTTAAAGAGAATGATGACCTGGAAGTAATTGTGATTTACAAGGAATCTTAGGAGAAGATCAGTACGAAACGGTGAAGGGCTAAGAACTACGGGCCCAAGGTCAACATCAAAGTGGAGACTCTTGATGATCACAGATGAAGGAACTGATTTAAATGTGGGGGACGATGTTGAAGAGCAGGAATATTTAAAGAGAAAGGCAGTGATTTAGAGAGAGAAGACAGGGAGTGGTAGAGATGTGGAGACGAGGATGTGGGTACTTTGAGAAAAGGAAGGAGGGGAAATGAAAGACGAGGAAAAGAGGCAGAAAATACTGTAAAAACAACTACATTTAAGAGCTCAATTATTGAATGTTCACTCTGGCAGTTGTGGTTTAGTGCTCACACTGCCATTAGGGGTTAGTATTATTTATGTGCCCATTTTGCAGA